TATATATATCTATATATATATTTATTATATGCAACATAAATTTATGGCTTATAATCTTATTACAATTTTGTAATTAGCAAATGCTAAATTTGTCTAGATTAATTTTGTTTAATTTTTCTTTTTAAATCATTTATCTGCATACTCATATGAGAATGTCTATGTTCTAGGAATTAGTTGATTCTGCCAAAATAAAAATGTCAGAATTAGCACGGCAATACGAAAATGAAATCGATTCTGGAATTAATATCGAGATGGCCAAGCAAGTTTTACGCGAGGAGGACCAGTTTGATAAACAAAGATTCAAAGAAAAGATTAAAGAAAAACACAAAGAAGAGAAGAGGAAACTGAAGGTTGCCAAAAAAGCAGAAATAAACGACGAAGAGGGTGAAGACGCAGGCGATGATTACGGTACCGAAAGTGAAGCTAGTGAAGGTCCAGATCTTTCATGGTTACCTGATCCAGATAAGATATACGGCAAACAAGATGGAGACGAAGAAATATCGTCTGCCAACGAGTCTGTAGAAGATCAAAAATCTGAGGAAGAAAGCATAGTTCACAAGTATATAAAAATCACGTAATTTATATTTATAAATCATTCGAAAACTTGAAAACTTAACTTTCTGTTATAGGCCTTTCAAGAGAAAATTGATAACGCAAGAAGAACACAAGAGGAGCAAGAAAAAGCAAAAAACATCTAATGTTGCCTATCTACAAGCCGATGAGGAATTAGCATTACAGTTATTACAGAATTAGTACAAAGTACATCTTTAGAGAAATGTAAATTTTTACATTTTATTTATGAACGTGGCGATATGTACACTTTACAATATAACGATTATCTTAACAGTAAAGTGTAATTTTTTTACAGTTTGTGTCATAGTTTTAATTTAACTAGATAAATTGTACTAAGGCGGCATATGAATATTTGTCAACTTAATAAATTACAATTATTTTCATACGCACAAATATCAGTGAGTATTTTTTAAATGGTAAGGTGTAACGAGTACTTTACATTTCATACAAGTACTCTCACAGTGATAATATTTGGTAAATTCATCTATAGGAACTGCTACTACTTACAATATACAATAAATATTTTACAAAATTCCGATTATTAAACAAGTTACTATATTACAGAGCATATTTGTGAGAGGAAGCCAAAATCCATCCAATTATTTAAGAACAATGATTTTATGGAAGAGAGAAATATTTCGCAGTTTCGAGCCAATAGATGAAATTTTATTTTCGCATATTGTCAGAACGTTCCTTATTTTGCAATTGTCCTAACATTCCTAACTAGCTTATCATACATATCCTTTATGTTATCTCACTAGAAATCACACAAGATTCTTGGTATATATACTTCGAACTCGCCACTTTCCATAGACAGTTGCTACAAGAGATTTTTCGCTAGAATAATTTTCAGTCTTTTTAAGCGGTTGCGATTTTGATGTGTTTCAAAATATTGTCGACGACGTCTCTGCTCGTTGCAGTACCACCGAGATCGCGAGTATGTACTCCTTGATTAATAGTCTTGTTGATTGCATTCTGAATAACGGTGGCATGATGTTTGTGACCTAGATGACGCAACATATCGACTGCGGCATTTAGCATCGCAATTGGATTGGCGATATTCTTGCCAGCGATACTGGTACCGGTGTTACGAGTGCCTGGCTCAAAGATCGTGTAATGGTCACCGTAGTTCTTGCCAGCTAATAAACCGGCACCGCCCAACAAACCGCATACCACATTCGATACGATGGCACCGTACAGATTGGTCGTTAATACGACATCAAACTGGTGTGGATTTGAAACAAGTTGCATGCAACAATTATCAATAATCATATCATTATGGATGATATCCGGATAATCCTTGGCAACGCGCCGTGAAATCTCTAGGAAGAGTCCATCTGATAGCTTCATAATATTCGCTTTATGAACTGTCGTAACTTTCTTGCGGCCGTTCCTCTTAGCATACTCAAACGCATAACGAGCGACACGTTCCGAGTTAAAATTTGTGATAACTTTCATACTTTCAATGACACCGTATACACTCTCATGTTCCAACATGGAGTACTCACCCTCGGTGTTTTGCCTCACAATAACAATATCTATATTTTTCTGACGTGAATTTACACCTGGATACGACACACAATGTAGAACATTCACATAAAGATCGAGCTCATTTCGCAGAGCAACATTTCTAGAAATGACACCAGCTTCTGTACTGCGCGTTTCTATGTTTCCCTTTAAAGCTACTCCATTTCTGCGTATTGATGTAATTGCATAATCTAAATCAACATTGTCGTCAGCATTGGGATCAATCTCAACATCTTCAAAGTCCACTGGTACGCCAGCATATTTAAAAACCTGAAACAAATGATAAATATTATTTCCAATATATCAGGGTAGGAGTAAAGAATACTTCTATCTAATATATTCTTGCATTGCTAAGGTCTAGTTCCACTACTATAAGATCAATTTTAGGGCCTCTTTCATCAACTTTGATTATCATTACTTAGTAGTTTGTCTCAAAAGAGGAAGATATTTTGACATTAAATTATTGTTGGCACTTCTATGAGTTGATTGTCGATTACTTTAATCAGAAGTTGGTGAAGCCCTATATCTTAATTTAATTCAAATTTTATCTTTCAAGGTCGAAGCCAAAGACATAGAGAATGGACTCACATACTTTTGCACAATGCCTATAGCATTAGAAAATTAACCAATCTGAGTCTTTTATTTCATGGATAGAAAGGAAATGAAAGACTTTGATTGGTTTATCTTTTTATACAAGACTCTGCACTTCCATCCTTAGAATTAGAAAAAGATAAAGAATAAATTAAACTGAGGTTAAAGTTGATCTTATAAAACCGAACTTTAGAGCGCGCCATAAATTCAAGAACAGTGATCTACGCACTTCCTTTACATAACCCATCAACTCCGGTCCAATGCCAGCTCCAGGTAGCATGGTAACTGTGTGCCTGCCACCGTAATGAGCCTTTGGTATGGGCATCACTTTCTTGATCGTGGGAGTTTTGTGCTGAATATCGAAGCCTGAGAGAGATGCGCATCGATGACTCTGAAATATCACGGACTTGGGTTTCAGGTACTTTAAAACCGAGCGGGCAGCCATCTCGCGCTATTGTTTCGCTATAAACATAACAGAAATCAATTATTTAATCTCGGATATAGCTCAATGCGTATTATTATACAATGCATACCGTTATCTTTGCAAATGCTATTTTAATATGACAACCTCGATGCACCCAAAACTCCAAAAAACCTTGTCAGCACCACGCCACACCACGCCAGACTCACCAAGCTCATCGAAGAAAACAGAAGAAAACACGACAGTTAACACGTGATACTTCAATACGGTTCACTTGGCATTACAAATGCTTCGAAACGTTTTCTGATTGGTCAATTAACCTCTTTCCTATTTTGTTTAGAGTCACGTGGACTGCAATTTTTAAAGCGTATTGATTATCTATAAAATCGAAACTTTTTAGAAAAAATTAAAAACTTCTCTGTTCTCTATAGAGCCTCTGTTTGGATTTCCTAATATAGAAGGTTGATAATTAGCCAATTTAATATTAAATGTTAAATAAATTTACTAATTGAGTGATTCAGTGAAAAAATTCCAAGCACAAATAAGACCTGACTGCACCAAACGCTAATTTTATCGATAATAAAAAAAAAAGAGATAGAGATAGTTTTAAGTCTTATTTAAAATCGAAATCACATTAGTGCAATTGGGCCTAAGAATAATAAAAGATATAAAATACAGTACTAATTTCATAATTTATTAGTTTCGTAGATATATATATATATATTAAAAACTTAATAATACTCAATTTTTATTAAAAATTGTGATTTTTAACGTTATCATCCAAGTTTGATTATCAATAGAGATGATAACTGCAGAGAAAAAAAATTGTAATTTTTTTCGACAATATGTAATTATAGTATTAAAAGAATACGCATTTCTTTATACAGCATTTATGTAATAAAAAATCACGAATTTAATAATGTATTACCGAATATTTATGTTAATATTCGCAAATTTCTATTAATTATCGAGATAATATCATCGTTCTTCAATTATCCCCGGTGCCCCATTGGTCACGAAAATTTGTCCAGAACCGATCAACCGAGCGTCTTTAATAATACCTCGTCGGTAACAAGGGCACAAAAATCAACACAAAAATTGTAAAAATTTTTAAGGATTTCAAGCAATTTCAAGCGAACAAATTTTAGACAGCCTCTATTCTCGAAAAGAAACGTATACGAGAAACTAGGGAAATACTATACACGACACACGTATTACTTTTGGAAAGGCAGCCATTTTCTTCTAACGGAGGAACTTTCACGCCAACAACTTGGTCAGCCTGACTTTTTCGCGGCAACGCATGCTGTGTTCAGAGCCCTTCGTAACGAAATATTTAGAGCAGTAGCTTTATCGTGGTCCATATCAGTGTTCAAGCTCTTTTAAGCGTTGGAACAATCTAGGTGAGTCTCTTCTATTATAAAACGTAACTCGAGCTCGCAAACGTTAACGGCGTTATACGGAACACGGGCAATATCACGATTCTTAAAAAGAGAAAGAAAAACACCGGCGAACGCGTCACTACCATTGTCGCCATTTTAGACCAAACCGCAGCGGATCTTGCGATATAACCATTTTCACGCATCACACCGCGGCTCGTCATCGGCGCATATCATTTTCACGTCCAGGTCCACCCGGTAAAACATTGTCCCAATTTGCGTTGTATTACAACACATTACGTGATGAAATCGACACGGTGTGTAACTGCGTTTCTACATTACATCGCGCCATATCACAATCACACCACACCGTGTCGCGCCGGTAGAGTCTGCGTCCTGCGCAATTTCTCGTCGGTCGTTTTATTTACAATACTGAAGCGTGGGATCAGATGGAAACCTGTCATATTCTTGCTCAAACACTGAACGAATAACAGTTTGTCACTTCAAAATCTACTTCTCTAATCTTGTTTGTATCTTTACCTAATTCTAGATTACTTTTATCTCCAATATATATCTTTCTAAAAAAAAGCTATGTTCCCTTTTCACTGTGAGTGCTGAAAATCTTCACTTCACATTATGTACATTGTAGGCTGTGTGCAGCAGAGAAAGCAGCTTTGCAACTATCATAAAATTCTTCAAAATATAATTAATTTCTACATTTAGGTCTAGTTTCACAATTCATGATTCTTATGAATTCTTAACCAAGATTCAACTTATTTCTCATCCCCTTCCAAAATTCTAGAATTAGAATTAGATTAGGAATAAGTTGAATCTCAGTTAAGAATTAATCATAAATTGTAAAACTGGGCCTAAAACTGATAACACACGATGCTTGTTTTCTTGCTGGATTAGATTCTTGCTACTATATTGGCTACGATGCATTATTGACATTGTAACCAATATGGTGACAAGATTCTAATCCATCAAAATTACCACTGACTTTAGATCCATAAGAAAGCAAGAGTAAGAACCAATCATATTAAAGAATTTTACAACAGTTGCAAAGCTACTCTCTTTGCTAAACATAGCCATAGATTTCCATTAATCAGTGAATAAACTCAACCTCAAAGCATTTATTATTAGTCAGCTATAAAAAACCAGCTTTATGTAGATGATTTTTTTTAGTTTTCATAAAAATTTACAAGGAGACTTATTTGATTTTTACATTTACAGTACCATGAGTAAAATGAAGGATTCTCCTTCGGACAATGAGGCTGAAGAAGAGTTCAGTGTGGAGAAAGTTTTAGATAGAAGAGTCATAAAGGGAAAAGTATGTAAAATCTTATTATATATCTTGACATTTTGTGTGTAAGGTATGTTACTTTAATATTTTTTTAATTATTTGATTTACAGGTTGAATATTACTTAAAATGGAAAGGATATTCTAATGATGAGAATACATGGGAACCAGAAGAAAATTTAGATTGCCCAGATCTGATCGCTCAATTTGAGGACCAACGGAGGAAGAAGGATGGAGCTGCATCTGGGAAACGTCATGAAGAGAAGGAACAAAAGAAACGAAAAAGTAATAACACACCGACGCCCACTCAAGCCAAGAAAAAGGCAGCAGTGGAAGAAAAGAAGCTGGAAGGTAAAGGGAAGCATCGAAAATTTTTGTTCCTAAGATATTTTTAGTTTTCTTTATTTATTTTTTGCCTTTTTCTTCGTTTTTTTTTATAAATATATCTTTAACTTTATAGGATTTGATAGAAATCTGGAGCCTGAGCGTATTATTGGAGCAACGGATTCTAGCGGCGAACTGATGTTCTTAATGAAATGGAAAGGAACAGACGATGCGGATCTGGTACCAGCACGCATTGCTAACGAGAGGTGCCCACAAATCGTAATCAAATTTTACGAGGAACGACTCACGTGGCACAGTCCAGCTCATGATGACGAAAACTCTGCAAAACCTGACCCGGAGTAGCGTCCAGCGTTCCTTCATCATTTATTTTTATTATTGCAAAGTATTTCCTTGTAACATTTATTCTAGGTTATTTGCGAGTTTTCTAACTTTTGTAGGTGAAAAATAAATATATCAAAGATTTTTCGAACCGCATTGATATAGAACAGTATAATGTAGGAGGAATTAAAAAAAAAAAAAGAGTTCAAAGGTTAAAAAAGAAAACTACGTACATTGTCACTATTTAGTAATATATTTATTTTTTAAATGTAAAAACCGTAAATTTTCAGAGACAATTATATAATATTTTCAATTTTTCACCAACACATCGTAAAATGTATTTACTTTTTAATAGATATAATATCTTTCAATACATAACATATATTTATTAAAAGTATATCTTAAATAGCGATTTTTTTAAATAGTATAGATTCCTTCTAATTATTTTGTTCTTTTCCTGTTTACCATACAACTGTGTTAACACCTGTTGCACCTACATAAATTATCTACTATTTTAATTACTTAAAATATACGTGATTTGCTGTTTAAATAAATAAATAAATTGAAATTGATTACATGTAACATGTAAAATCATTTTGATTATTATTAGTAAAAAAAAGTAATTAAATAATATAGGAAAAAAATAATTTTTACATAAATTTGGTTTTACATTCCAGCCATTATAAGACTACCAATTCGATTACAATTCCTCAGAGCTTGTGAGAAATATCAAATCTATTAATTTGCAATAGTGAAACATGAGTTCTTGTAATCATTTATTTCTTTTTTCACACGTCATTGCTAAATGTAACATATGTACTACAACGCATTACAATATATAAGAACATTCTTGAAGAATTATTTGTTTCATCTTTAAAATTTTATCTATTGAATATTTAAAAATTATTTTTCTGATTTAAATTAAAATATTCCAAAAGCCAATTACTTTAATTGTGTAGAGAGAACATTCACATTAACGAGTTCAATATAAACGTTAGATATGTTTAAACGATATAAAAGTATTAATAAATTCTCAAAATTAACAAAACATAAGACGAGATGAGAGTACATAGATTACAACGCGCAATAAATTTAAAAAATAAAATTATATGTACGTTTTAAATATAACTTGCAAAGGGTGTGATTTGAATATCTCATGTTTACTGAGGATGACTCTAAAGTGAATTGAAACATATGAGATTTTATATTTAAAATTTTAAATATGTATCAATTTTATAATTTGTTAAATTCATTACACGTTGCGATCTACGTTGTACTCTTATTGACCTGTTTCATGTTTTGTTAAACATGTTTGTATTGAAAATAAAACGCACAATATTGACGTATAAACGAAACGTCGTATAATTTTGCCTACAAATTTCATAGAAAAGATAAATGCTTTTATATATATATATACCACACACACACACACCAATAATAAAATATATTCATTTTAGATTATTTCATAGTTTACGGTATTACTTAAATAAAATGGAGAGTCATTGGAAAGCAAAGTTTATTGTAATCAAATATAAATGTCTATGAAATATGTTAATTACATATTCATCGTTTGAATTTTTTAGCTCGATTATTATTAGACGATTGAACAGACTTTCGCTTTTTCCCAAATGGTCCCTTCATCCGTTGATGTCGTTTTATTTCCCAATCTATCTGCTTTGCGCTAGCACCATCACTACTGCTAAAAACGTTACTACCACCGTGCTTTCCTTTCGATTTATTTTGTTCCTCCAACATCTCTGCGAACTTTTCTGCCGATACGAATATACTGCTATCGATTCCTTTTTTCTTCTCTTTATTTTTCGGACTCTTCTTCGCGTTTAGCTTTTTATTCAAACTTGAAATTAATTTGTCATCTACAGACCCTTCGTCTTCGGAATCGTTGAACTCGATATCGCTCAGATTTTCGTCATCTATATCTACAAGATCAATATCGCTTAGATCTTGCAACTCGTCGTTATCTGCGATATCTTCATCAAAATCTTCAGATGCATCATCGATGATATCGTCATCTTCAGATTGACTAACATTATCTTCGGTGTCTTCGTCATCATCAGATTCTTCATTCGCTTTACCTGTTATAAACGCCATTATCAGTAAGTTTTATTGTTTATAAGATATACAATACATAATACACACATACAAAACATTAAAGATTAAGTTTTTCCTTTTATCTCAACGAATCATTAAAACACATTTTATACAAATTTATGCAAAAAAAAACATGCTACCTTTTTTCTTCCTAGGTTGGATATCCGCCGCTATATCTAAGTCATCGAAATCTTGACCGAAATTTTGGCCACCGCCCATACGATCCAACATATCATTGAACTCTTCACTGTTAACGCTGTCTGCGTCTTCGTCATCTTCATCATCTTCTTTCTTGACACGCTTTTTGATCTCATCTTTCTGTTTCAAGTATCGATATAGAAACAACTCGTCTACAGGTATTCGCTCCTCTCTCTCATTGAGATATGCTGCGCTATCCACCGAAAGGGATCGTATACCCTTAGGCGTGTATCCGGCACGTTGTGCCAAAGGATCATTCTTTTTCTGCACTTTCTTGGACTCCAATTTTTTCGGATTTTTGAAAACGTATCGATCCAAAAATCGAATCAACGTCAGATCCTCCAAAGGATCACCTGTATACTCGATCGATTTCCCTGAAATATAAAAATATATAAATATCACGTCTAATAATAGTAAACGATGTATAAATTTAAATTTGAAAAATTATATAGAACATTACCTTGAATAATTTGATTCGCGAATAAAGAAACGCTCGGATGGAAGTGTCTAGATAATGCTTCTAGCTCGGCATTGATCCCTTTGGTTGCACCTGCATACAAAGGATTCCTACAAAAAGGATCATATGGTTTTACATCTTGCATCTCAACTTTTATGTCAGATTCTTTCTTCACATCCGGCTTCGTTTCGCTATCCGAACCAACTATGATATTCGATAACATGATAGAGTTTTCATTTTCTATTACATGAACATCTTCCGTGTCTGATAAGCTATCGTTTACTTCACAAACGTCATTTTCGGCTTTAATAACCTTATATGGCTCAAATAACATATATTTTAAGTCTCTGCGTCTTTCGAGAACTTTGGAGACAATGTACAGCATGGCACATACCATATTTGCAGAAAAATAAAATGTAATCTGCAAAATTCTTTTGATAAAAGCATATGAACGTAATATACTTTGATCCTTTTGAAGGACTCGATACAATAAGTTAAGAAACACCGCATGCTTATTCGCTACTCCTATTTGCCGATCGAATAACTTTCTATAAAAGGCCGAATAAAATCGATTCGTCTGAGACTCGTCCTTGCCAGTTATCTGCAAACGCAATTATTTTATACAAACTGGAAACGCATAAATATTCAATATATTGCGGCGGACGTTATTCCATGATACTTACCTGATGTAATAAGTTAAGTGCATTAAGAGAGACATTAAACGATCCAAGGTGTACCACTTTGTAGATAGAATCAATGTGTTCGTTCAATATCTTCGAGTCTATTTTGGCAAAAGGATACGCTCTACTAACGCCCATTAAAATTGCTGCCATCATTCTACTATCAGGTTCCCCTTTCTTCAAACATGCTTTGAAAAATGCAAAATATACTTCTATCAGAGTAGCAGCTATTTCCTCATCGTTTTTATCCAAAACATATTGCGATAACAGACATATAGCGTAATACTGAGTACGCTGGTTCACATTTCTTCTAAATAACAATTTCTCAACTTCACGCAAAACTATGAGCTTCATATTGGGATGCTCATACAATAGTTTATTTAAACAAAATACAGCTTTGGAGCCAACCTTACTGCTTGGATCACCAAGTTTATTCACAAGTAACTCCAGCAACTTGTGTTCCTGCTCAGCGTTAGCTATCAACAGACCGCTCATTATAGATATGGCTTTCTCACGGTTTGTATCTACCGTATTGGAAGCCACTGCGGAGAGATTTGTAACAAAACGTTCATACTGTTCACGTAGTTGATCCTCGAAATACCAATGTGCCAACAATCTATTTCTACCAGCGTTTGTCTTAATAATGGAATCTGACCCATTATTAAGATTAATATCGAGCTTGTCTAAATCTTGCTCTTCTAATTTTAATAATTTAAATGTAGGGTGCAACAAATCCTCCAGGAAGAGTTCTTTCAATGATGTAATAATCATGCCACATTGATTATGTTTGGTGCTTCGTACTTGAGATATCAAGGATATCAGACGACCGAGATTATACTTGGGATTATCTTGTACCAGCACTATACCGGCTGCTGTCTTATCCGAAGTAGTACCTCGTTGCAATGCCGTTTTTAACCATTTTGTCTCTGAATCTTGCGATTTAGATTGTTTCAGTTGAAAGGCAGCGGTTTCTGCATCCAGATACTTCTTTCCTTCATCTCTTAAATGCAGAACGTCAGCTTCAGATTTGGAGTGCTTGTAGGGCCTTTCTGCTTTCTGATATTCCTCGTACCATTTCTGTCTAACAGTAGTAAGAATTTCACCAATAGTGAAATTATCATTGAGTTCTCTCTTCATCTTCCAAGAAAAATTCTGAAATAATTTCCAAAAGGACAATAAATATATGCATTTAAAATATTTAAATAATATGGTACAACATTCTAATATTTATTATAAATTTATTATATAAATATTATATTGTTGTCACTAATATAAAATAATGTAATGTATTACAAAGAGCAATGCTTACATGTTAATCTTGAAATCATTGATACGAAGACCGTTTGATGTGCATGTACTTTTAATAAATCTTAAATATTTTTTAATGGATGTTTCCTTTACAAATTCTAACCATACAATCACACACATGTGCTTCCAAGGGACTCGCGCATGCGCGTTGTTTACAGCTGAGCGCGCAGTGCTGTAGCACTTAATGTTTGATTTAAATGTTCCATAGTAAATCTCGATAAATCATTTTCCAACTTTAAATTTCAGATAATGAGTGGGAAAACTTTTCACGAGTGGACAGGAAGGAGAACTGTACTTGTAGTTTTACAAAATAATATAAAAGAATTAAATTTACTTCAGGAAATGGATTTTCCTTTCGAAATGCAAATGCTCACTACAACGGCTAATTGCCTTTAAAAAAATAATAGACGAATCTTAACGCCACCTGCCTTCTTTTCGTGAAAATCAATGTACATAACGATACACAGAATCAAATTTTAACTCTTATATTTTTATACGATTTACATTTTCTCCTTTTACTCTCACACTGTATATTTATTAAGAAATAAATATATTCAACGAAATCCAAAATCGAGACATAAGACGTCCTTTTAGAGTTTTCGTAAAAATATCTTTAGGTTTTTAGATATCACAAATTTAAACTCGTTTTCTGTGTATTAACTCTTTTGGCATAAAGTAAATTAAAAGTAAAAAAACTGGAAGTTTTATGTACGTTCCATTTTAATGTTTTTAAATTTATTGAAAAATATACAATTATTTGACAAATAGTCTATAAATTATTACAATTTCTCATTGAAGTAATATATACAATTTTGTGTTATATAACATACATTATGCATTTCTCTGTAAAATGATCTAAATTTTTTTATAATATCATCTATTAAAATCGTTATAGTATACATAAAAGTATACAATATATATTTTTGCATCACAGATTCACTTTATGTTATAAAATACATAGCACTTTTAACTATACTGATTAAATTGTTTCAAATGACTAAAAAGTTAATTTAAACAGCATTATGGAGTAGCAGAGAGAGTAGAGAAGTAGAGAGAGAGAGTAAAGACGAAATTGGAGCTAATTTAAATTGGTTAAAATTTAATCAGAATTGGAGATACAAATTATATAGAGAAAAAAAATAATGTATATTAAATAACATGAATAATTATTTATTATATATAATCAAAAGTTATATTGATAGCACAGTGACTAGACTTTAAGAAACAGATTTCCAAAAACTAGATTTGAAGACTTTTATAAAAATAATTTAATAAAAACATTGAAAAATTGCTTGCCCATAGATTAATATACATTATCCCTAAATTTTTCCGAAAGTTACATTACAATTCGTGCAAATATACTTACAAATCTCTCAGCATGTAACTCTCACATTTCATTTTCCCAAATACTGTAGCAATTTTTAAATTGTATCATAATAAATATGCAATTCTGCATAATAATATACATAATGAATAATGTATAAATCTTATACGGTACATTCTTTAAAAAAAACTAAGAAGAATTACAAAATCTGTCAATTCAATCCTCGATGCCTTCTTTTCATTCTTGCATATGGCCCGATTTCAGGATCCATCACAAAATCGTACAAAACAGAAACCCATGAATTATGCTGTGGCAAATTATCGTAAAATTCTGCGGCTATACGTTTTACCTAAAAGTTATGTGAAATAATAAACAAGTTATATTGCTGTATGATAACAATTATATCTAAACTATAATGAATGTTTTGACATACTTCTGGTAACCTCGAACCAGGCACTGCAGGGAAGTCATGGTGTTCATTGTGGTACCCGACATTGAAAGTAATGAAATTTAGAGGACCATAGTAACTGTAAGTCTCAAAACCTTTTTTGTACATGTAATGTTCCGATATAAAGTGACCTGCCACAGGATGTAATCCCATTGCCATAACAGAGCCAATAAGTAAGTAAAATAGTACTTTACCACCTAAAAATCAGATGTTATTTTTCTCTAATAAATGAATTTCATAATATCTACTAATTTGTAATATTAATATAAATTACATCCTGATTTTTTTAAAAATTTTTAAACTTACCGAAAAAATACCATACACAAGCATCAAATATCAATTGTATAACTAAATTTATATATTCTAAAGAAGTTGGTACTTTTGGATATGTTACAAGAGGTCGAAATGAATAAAAGAATGGTTGTAGCATTATCCAACAAAACTTCCCAAAAGTTGTACAAAATAATTTCGCTTCTAATAATGTTGGTAAGTCTGTATCTAACTTTTCATCTCCCTGATACTAAAAATACAAAAAAAGTATATCTCTTAAATATATAATTGAAAATATAGTAAATTACTAGATAATGCAAGTTTTATTATCAATTTTCACTATTTTTTGCAATACTCACACGATGGTGCTCAAGATGATATTTTTTAAAACTAATAGATACCGGTATTCCTATTGGCAGATTTGCAAAAAAGCCAAATAGTCGATTAGCCATAGGCCTGGCATGTCCAAAGGCAAGATTATGAGATATTTCATGTATCGCTGCAAAACAAACCATAACACAAAATTTGCATAATACATAAACCAGAACTATTAATATATTAAACTTTAGCATGATGCTTAATAAATTGTAACTTTATTGTATTAATGAATAAAATGTATATATACCAAGCATAAGAGAGTGGTTTATTACACCTCCAAAGCAATATGCTAGTAGCAAGAGTTTGGGATAACTCAAATCTTTAACAATGAAGAATGATAGAAACTGTAATAATACCATTACAGTAACAACCCATTTGAAATTTGGATCATATCCAAACAACTTCTTAATTTGTGGATATTTCTCTAAAATAAAAAACATTTCAAAGATAATAATTAAAAAGATCATTTGATTAAAGTAATGTATTTTAATATTATTTCAATATAAATATGTATTTAATTTTACTATAGAATTTATAAAATTTGATAACATGAAAATCAACATAAAATACATTTATAAAATGATATTGTTTTAAATTAGACAAATTTGTTAGATTTTTTTTCTATTATACATTTTAATATAAATTTATATAACATCAAATAGTTGCAATAAACTGATTCAATTGTGTTCCTCATTTATCGGTCTAATGTCATTCATGAATAAATTCATGTTTAAACATACCCCTTAAAAATAATACTTTATATTTTAAATAACAATGAATTAAAAATATCATAAACATATCTATAAGTTCAATTCATATTTTATGGTATTGTTTGCATATCCAAAGTGGTATTTTATCATAAAGATATTCAAGCAGATGATCCTCAGAATAGGCGTGGTTATGCATATTAGTCTTTCCAATTTTACAGTTATGAGTCTCATATCCCGAGAACATTGTTCAAACATTTACAATAAAATAAAAATAAGTATCAAATATCAGTCATACAGTTTAGTCTTCTCGCGAATATCATACCTAGAATTATTTTACGTCGTGAAGCATGTGGTTCCTCGGTGTAAACCCATTCGAAATCCGTTCTTGAGACTTGTTGGCCCATTCTTCTGTGATGATTTTCGTACAAAAGGTGAAATTAATCCTAGCAATGGCTAATAAAGTTGAGTGGCATTGTCAATGATAATCGAAGCAAGAAATAAAAAGTAATGCTGTTGAAATCACGATTTTATTACCTGGAGATCGGAGATAATATTGCCGGTCCTTTTTTTTAATACTTGCTGTATTATACAAGGTGTCCTGATATTATCAGATACGTTCTTAGTCACGCATTTTGGGTTCGGTAAATATGGAGTCACTTATTAAGTCAAGTTAAAATTATATAAAATAGATCAATTTGCGAATTTTCGAAAAAATTCGGAAACTTGCAAATTTGCATCGACGCGCATTTCTATTATTAAACTAAACGTAGGTATATTATCTTAAATTATTTTTTCGTTATAGATAAATTTGGAATCGGGATATAGCGAATTATGTTACTCGTTTATATATGTGTATAACCATACTTAAATCGCCGTAATCGCCCTGATTATTCGTCAACGACGATTATTCTCTTTTTTCATAATTTCCTTGTAAGAAGTTTAAATCATTCGATAACATTTTAGGACATCCTGTATACAAAATCGTCATATACAGTTACAATGAATGTGACTGTAATCTCATGTTCTACTACACATATACGGAGATAAATACTAATAAAATTTATTATAAAATAGCTGTGTTACAATATCCACTCTTTCAGATATCACGCTAATCGCGCACGTACGCACTCTGGCATGTACGTGATTAAAAGATAAATAGTCGAGTGGAAGCGAGAAAAGGAAGAGCAATCGTCAACACGAGGTTTGTTCGCGTTGTTTGCACTTTTTGCACTTGTCACCTTTGTTTTCTCTCTTTTCAATGCCCAAATATATATCTATCTCATTTTAAGTTAAAAAATTTTTGATGTTTCAAGAAACGCGAACAGACCTATGTTGTTGCATGACCCCTAGCAATTATTCATGACACATCGATTATTTATGACTCGCGCGAAGATGCGGCAACCAATTGTGTGTCTTGTAATGTAACATTGGTCCAAAACGCAGGAGAATGATTGGCGAATCGCGTATTATTTCGTAGCATTGTCGCATTCTTCTATAGAGGAATCACAATCCAATTATATGCTTTATTTCACGTGCAGAAAGTCACAGAAAGTGTCGAATAGTGTAGCTATAAGGAACAGGCGTTATTAGTGCATGGTGTACAGAACATATATAAGTACCCAAGTGTACCGCTAACACCGCTGTTTGATAGAACTTCTTGAAATATAATATTTATTTGAAGGTAAGTCATGCCAAAAGTACCAGTTCTGAAGAATTACTCGATCGGACGCGTTTCGGATCGAGTGCTCGTTATTGTATATTTTTGAAAGTATTGCCGACTCTAACTGAGCATTGATTTAACCTCACTGATGTGTGTCCGCGGTTGGCTCGACCCGTTCGTTCGTCCTGACGCGCGTTATTGCGGCGTGACGATGTCGTAGACGCAGGCACCCGGTGTCCGGGCTACGCCATTTTCGCGGGCATTGCATTACCCGTTTGTTTTTATATTTGTACGGTTTACATTAAAGACGTGATCTGCCCATATCAACCTCCTATTTCATTATTTGTAGGCGGGAGCTATTAATTAAAGAAAACGAAGATGCCAAAAGTACGACGAAGCAAGAAACCGCCTCCGGATGGTTGGGAGCTAATCGAACCGACTCTGGAGGAATTGGAGCAAAAGATGCGCGAAGGTGAGTGTTTTATTCTTTGTAAGGTTAGATTAGCTTCTGCGATTTAACAAGAAGATTTTAAGTTGCGATTCCTTTTTTTATTACAGCCGAGACGGAACCTCATGAAGGCAAAAGAAAACAGGAATCCTTATGGCCAATATTTAAAATACATCATCAAAAATCTCGATATATATACGATCTGTTTTACAGGAGAAAGGCGATTAGTCGTGGTAAATTAAAGTAGCATTAAAAGAACAACTCTTAAAGAATTCAAAAGACGTATCTGGCTTCTTTATGCTTTATTTATTTCAGAATTGTACGATTATTGTTTAAATGAAAATATTGCTGACAAAAACTTGATCGCCAAGTGGAAGAAGGTCGGCTACGAAAATTTATGCTGTCTGCGCTGCATTCAGACAAGGGACACAAATTTTGGTACAAACTGCATCTGCAGAGTGCCAAAAGGTAAACTTGAAGAAGGTCGGATAGTGGAATGCATACATTGTGGCTGCAGAGGATGCTCTGGTTGAATATGATACTTTCCTGCAGTAAGGCACTTTATTTTTATTGCCGCAAAATTACATAGTAAGATAAATTTGCACATATCTCTCATCTTTACTCAATCATCAGATGCCACTTTTTGGACTCTGTAAATCGGGCGGCAAGATACAGCGGCGTTTGTACACGCCAGTCATATGTAACGCATTTGTTTTCAGATTCGATATTCACTCGCAACACGTGAGCATTTTTCCGGAAGGCAGAGATCATAATAACCGCACCGAAACGCATTCTTGGCAGGCGCATCAATTTTTCGTCACCGTCCATGAAGATTTTGCCTTGAGGTGTGATCATTAGCGATGCTGCTCTTTTTAAGGTATCGTGACTACCTTGCGGATCGTAAACTAACGCAATACCTTCGTCGTCGTCTCCTTCTTGTGGAACTTCTAAAAACTATAATAAGACAAATTAAACGTAGAAAAAAATGTAACGTATAACGAAAAAATATAAATAAAATAACATTGTACATAATTACCTTGAATTCAATTACGTGATTCTCATTAAATTGAGGACCTTGTGAGAATAGTGTGCTTATAGTATTTGTGACTTTTGCAGCAATTTTACTATTAGTAATTATATAATTCTTGTTATCAAGTTCCCAGCCTGTAATTATATTAAAAATGATTTTTTATTATTTACATTAATAAATTTCAATAAAATGTAAAGTTTTTAAAGTATTCTTTTCCCAATTCACACACAAAACTATGTTAAATCAGATTTATAATATTTAAATTAATATTTAAATCAAATTAAAATAAAATTAGAAATTTTGTGGCTCCAAGATTAAATGAAATATAAATAAAATACCTATATAAAAGAGTTAAAAAAGCTTTATTGTTAATACAGATTTCTCGTTTTCTCTATACATACTGTACGGCGGTATAGAAGTCTGTGTGACGTGATGTATACTCCTTGTAACGTTGTCTGCTTGTATTCTAACTCTGACTGTAACTAACTGATCAACAGGTATATTTCTAATAAAACAAGAAGTCTCGGATCCTCTGTACACCGTTTCAAATTTGTTCGATGCCGAATCAAGAACTTTTCCGTTAGCTATCTCTACGATAAATGTCTGCTCCTCGGCAAAATACTCCGGATTAGTTACGTGCCATTTAATGAATAAACCCGCCGGTCTCTCTTCAATGTTCATTATCTGAACGGGTATTGTGCGAGAAATGCAGCCGAGTTTCGATATTCGCTTTATAATTTCATCCTTGTACGAGTTCAATGGACGATCAAAGTTTATATTTGGAAGTTCATCAGAATACGGCACTGCTGGGATCCTTAAAAATAAAATTAACATTTAATTTCTGAGAAATACTCAACATAAATAATTCTTATATTACAATCATCAAGGTCTCACCTGCCTATGTCATTACTTGCAGAAATTATCTTTCCAAATCCATTCACGCTGTATCGATACGGATGCTGTAGAATACCCTCGCTCATTGATATAATATTCTGTGCATTTTGCATTTGTGTCTCTACTTCCCTTCTACAAGCCCTCAATGGTATCAAACTCTCATGTTTGTGAATTTCTGTCTCCAGTATCAGCAGCTCGCGTCTCTTATTGATTTCGTAGCATACATCATCTAACAAAGATTGAAACGTCCCGTCTATATCTTTTAACGTTCTCATCATACTGTTTTCTATCTGACAGAACAATTTTTTCATGTTAATGCAGTCACCATAAAAATAAGCAGCAATTTTAATGAAATGAAGTCAATAAATTTTAAAAATATTTCGTATTTACCTGCTGATCAGCATTGTCGAGATCTTTCAATTGATAATCCAATTTCGCTATATATTCCTGTGTAGATTGTATAATGCTTTTGACATTTTCTTCCACATTCTGTGGCAATACGTTTCCTTTTTGTACTAAGGTATCTTTTGCATCAAGACACGATGTTTCTATGCTTTTTTTATTTTCAATATTTCGTTCATATTCATTTAATTTATTTACTGCGTACGTTAATCTCATTAGAAGTTCTTCCTTCTTCGTCTTTTCGTTGTCGTTATCGGATATCACAGAACTTTTATTAGAAATATTTGGCGTTAGTGGTTTTATCCTGTATTTGTGTAATAATCCGTCATAATTGTCGATTTGCTCTAACTCCAATTTATCTAACAACTTTTGTTTAGTCGGTGCTTCTGAAATTTGTTCCATATCTGAAAAAATAATCAACGATTTGAATTAATATAAATATTATTGAGATAAATAATATTTAAATATATATTAATATTTCGCAAATTGCATTTGTATTAATTACAGATATTGTTTAATCATGTTGTGCCAAGAATATTTTGCATTACAATCGGCTTGAATTTCTTTCTCAGCGAAAGTTTGAGTTTGTTGATTATTCAGCATCAAGTATTTCTTCAAGCTTTCTTTTGGATATCTCGCATAATCTTGTTTAGTATGATCTATTTTATTATTATCAATTTCAGCTTCGTTCTCGTTATAATTCTTACTCGGTGTCAGCAATATGCCGTTCCAATAATCTAAGTCGTTACGATCATGCAGAGACGCTTGCGTACTAATCCCTATAATTTGCCAAGAATATTTAACGCTGCACCTTTTATACAAAGACTTATTATCCTCCACAATGATATTATTTAATAAATCTTGTAATAAGGTGTATGATGTTTGTGTGCTTGTTCCAATAACTTGCCAAGAATATTTTATTTCACAGTCATAAGGGCTTTTGCCTTTCCTCCTAGTAGTTTTTATTCCATGTATATTGTTATATTTTTTTCTTTGAGACGATGACATCCAGTCCTTCATTTCCCCTAAATATTTCATATCACTGATAATCTTATCTTCATTCTGTTCATGACTTTTTATTGCATTTCTCTCATTAGCAGTAATGTCATTCTGAATTTCAGCTAAGTTACAATTTGTATTAGTAGATTTCAAACAAGACTGTACAAACTCTGGGAAATTATTTCCTGACAGAGTATCATTTTCATAATGTAAAACATTTATTTCGTATTCGCTTGTGCGAATAGGATGCGAATGATTCGATGCTAAATTAGGTACTGACTTCTCTCTATTTACATTTGGAAACGTTTCCTTATTTCTGATCTTAAAGCTTGACATTGACTGTGTTGACACTGCAGAGGTAGTATCTACAATATCATAGAATGATTGATTTGGTGATGACATAACTGGTTTTCCCATGACATTACTAATTGGTGTTTCTATTTTTGGCAAAAGTGCAAATAGTGCTTTGTGTTTTGTTTGACTTTCCTTTATCTGCGACAGATCACACTTTCTTGATAATTTTATAGATCTTGAACTTGCCATATGTAAATCTTTGTTGTCTATCGATGGTTTAGGTTTCACAAGCACTGTATTGGGAAATTGTAATTCATTATATTTTTTCTTGCGAGATGATCTCTTAGATGGATATGAGTTTCGTGAAGTACTAATTTTTTTAATACTTGGAGAATCAATTTTTCCAAAAATAATATATTTTGTACTTTGATTCTTGGGTTCCCAGTGACTGATTTTTTTTACCTATATTTTCAAATTTTAGATATAGAAAAATATACTTATGTATTAAACAAAATTTTTAGTATTTTTCATGATATTGCATTCAAAAGTATGTAATAAGAGAAGAAAAGAGAAATATCTTCCAGAATATACAAATTTGGATTGACCTCGAGAGGCTTTTCTAAGGGATCATATAATGTATGCAAGAGTGTCTCTGGGAACAGCAATGCAGGATTGCTTGTGTAGTTTTTTGTTCTCAGAATCTGATGCCTGCTCTGTGAGAAGGGCGTATTACAGCTCTGTTTGAAAGGCACAGGTTTTACAACGGGAATCATTACATTTCTAGTATACAGTATTACATCTGGTATCCTTCTCTTCTGTGAATTGCTAATTTTTATTGAAGCCGAGTCTCCCATGTTAAACACTTCTATTAAAGCATATCATGTATTAAAGAGTATGTCTCTTAAATATATAAATATTGTTTTAATGCATATATATATATGTATATATATAAGCCATAGTTTTAACCTATAAATGTAAAACGTTTTAAATGTCAGGAATTATGTATACAAATTAGTTTTACTTTTTATAACATAATACATTCTGCAAAAGTGAACTCAAATTATATACAATTACGCGCGCAAAGCAAAATATATTTATATAAAATATAATTAAAAATTTTTTTAATAACACATTTTTTCACACTTAAATTATATTATAAGCAATATATGACGTTAAATAATTAATATTGTGGTAACAGAATTTTATAAAATCAATATATATTTTTCCAAATCGTGTAAATGATTCATATTCATGAGGAAAAGAAAAAGATCGAAGAAAGCATATATCAAAGAGTAAGAGAGAAAGAAAGAGAATTTATACATCTATAATTTTGATATATATACTCACAGAACGTTAGAAACTAACCGAAGTAATTAAAATTGGAATTCTGGCAAGAATGGACGAGGAATTTAGAGAGCAATCGCGAATGATTTTACCGAAAAATTATGACATTTGAAATGCACGAATAATCGCGGATCTCCACGGGCGGTGCATCTTGTCGCACTGAACTGTTCTAAATATAACCAAGGCAAGCATGATATCATGCACGGACATGAAACAGACAATTACCATGCACGGCCATAAATCCGTCAGCAATGTAATATTTGAATATATTACAGATTTCTGCATCTGCATTTATCGAAATTATACCTGTTCGACATTCAACATTCAATCTAATGCAATAAAGGAATTATTAATGTTTATATCATTATATTTGATAAAGTACATTTTCTCATTATATTATATACATATTACATATTTAAACATTGTATAATACAATCCAATATCACATTATCCTCCCTGATATTAAATAGTAAAATTAAAATATATGAAACAATAATATAATTATACACAAGGAATAATAATAATTGCAACAATGCAGAAAGAAAAAAAGATATGTTAAGTTTTGATACATTTTTTAAAGATCTTTCTTATCTAATCCTCAATAAATACATATTTATATCATATTCAACTTCACAGAAAGAACATTTAAAATCTTAATCAGCATCTAAATTCTTTATCACAAATTTCTGTTTGCATTAAATAATATAAATACATTTTCTACATTAGACTATACATATTATTAAAGTTGTCCACTATAAAACTTTGTTATACGCCGAATTTTACTAGAAATAGATAAATGATTATGTGATAAAACGTGCCAAAGTGTGTATATAATTA